GAGAAGAAATAATGTCCTAGGAATTTTAGAGGTGAGAAGTGGTAAATCCTAGATAGGCCTCCGTCAGATAAAGGATTGGGTAAATGAAGGTGAGCTAGAGTATGGCTAATATTTATTGATCACTCACTTTATTCTGAGGCGTTGTTTTAAATACTTTACATGTTTGATCCCACAAATACCTTATTTTATTTTACAAATGAGGAAAACGAGGTAATTAAGTAACCTGCAAGGTTCTCTAATGAGGCAGAGTTGGTGCGTGGGCTTCCGGCCCCGGGATCCACACTGACATGCTCTCCCAGGGGCCACTGGCCAGGAACTCAGTGCAGAAGAGGGAAGAGAAAACGTATCCAAGGGTAGATAATGAAATTACTGAAATAGGAAACCAAAAGTAAGTAGAAGTTATGAAGAAAACAAGAAAAAAGTTAATAAGCCTCCTGGAAGGCTGATCAAGGGGGAGAAACAGAAAGAAGACACAAACAGTGGTAAGAGTTGAGAGAGGGAGAATTGAGAATTACTGAGAAGGGCTGAAACCGAGGCCGCACGGAGCCCACCTGGCACCATTATGCACGTAGCAAAAGCTGCCTCCCGTGAGCATATGCAGTTGTGCGAAGAACTCTGTACCGGTTAAAAAACAGCCTTGAGCCAGGATACACATGTCAGTGAATGTAAAACGGCCTGACGTGCAGTCCACTCATTGCCGTGGCTGGGAGCCTATGTGTAGTGACTAACCTGCTCTCTGTGGACATAATTAGACGGAGTGGAGATTGTTTAGAAAGCATGAAAATACCGTGAACTGTAATTACTGCTTATTTATTGAAATGTTAAAAGATAGAAAATGGAAACAGGTGTTATAGGGCCTTCGGTGATGACAGACTTGCCGAATACCAACTGGTGGGAAAGTCTGATGCTGGGAAAGAGCTTTCCTTTATTTACAAGACGCCACAAAAGGCTTTTAAACAAACATTTAGAACTTTTAAATACCAGCTTTGAAGCAAAGCACTGAATGCTTTTTCTTTTCTTTTTACTCAGCAGGTTACATGCAAATAGTGTTTAAAGGCTAATGTGAAAGAATGACGGTGCCTTGAGCCCTTTTCAGACCTTATCCCTGTTCTGAGATCCCAATTTTAGTTCTTGGCTCTTTCCTCTGGCCTGGTTGTTTCATGTATATTTCCATAACCATGGCGGGTTGAATCTGGTTTTCCTTGTGGCCATATGGCCAGAAATGGACCTTAAGCCTACTTTAACAAAATGAAAAGGTACCAGGTCCCTTTCTCTTACTCTGCCCGTTACAATATGGGTCTGTTTCTGATGTTACCAAGCAGTTCCAAGTTTTTATCTTGCTTGTTCTCAGGTAGTAAAAGTAATCATTAAATGATTTCAAATTAGCTTTATCACTTGAAGAACAGTATAGATCAAAGGTTAGCAGACTTTTTATCTACAGACCAAATTTTAAGTATTTTAGGCCTTATGGTCTATCCAGTGTCTGTCACAACAGCTCAGTTACATAGCTCTTAAGCTGTCATGGAATGAAAGCAGCCACAGACAGTACATAAACAGGTGAATACGGCTCTGTTCCATTAAAACATTATGGACACTAAAATGAGAGATGTATGTAATTTTTATTTGTCATGAAATATATTATTCTTTTGATTTTCTTTCAACCATTTGATAGTGTAAAAAACATTCTTAGTTTGTGGGCCAAACAAAAACAAGCAGCTTGCTGGATTTGGCCCGCATGCCTTGGTTTGTTGGCACTGGTGTAGATTCTGAAATAAGTGCCGTGTTCTGTATTGATGTAGTAGCAAACATGGAAATTGCTCGAATGTATGTCTTAGGAACCCAAAGTGGGGAAACTTGGTGTCCCTTGGCAGCCCAAGGAACAGAGTAGAGAAGCGTGGAGAAGAGGCACATAGCCAGGTCAGCGGGTTAGGTATGGGGGTAGAATTAATCTCTCCGAGGTACCAGCATGCTAATTCCATCTGTTGAGCATTTAGTAAGTACACATTGTTTTTTGCTGCTGTACCAGGTACTGTAGACAACAGGTACTGTGTAGCCTGGTCTTTGGCCTGGAAAAGTGGCAAAGACAGATAATTAATAGACAAGAAGTTACTGAAAAGATTATGGTCTGGCAATACAAGTATGCCTAAGCTTATGCCTACACTTATAAAATGGACAGTAAATATATAAAAATGATGAAGAACTAGAGAAGAGAATTTGAGGAAGTCCATAGTATTTGAATCTGAAGGCCTTATGTGTTGTGTTAAGGTGCTTGGCCTTTATCGCACAGTCCAGGACTGGGTTTCTCTGACCGTGCTGTAGAATCACATTGTTGTTTTCTTTTTTTTTTTAATTTTCCAGCCCCTTATGAACTAATAGTTTTTTTTTTTTTTTTTTTTTTTTTTTTATTTCTAGGAGAGAGAGAGACCGCGTGAGCAGGGGAGGGTCAGAGAGAGAGGGAGTCACAGACTGAAACAGGCTCCAGGCTCTGAGCTGGCAGTCAGCACAGAGCCCGACGCGGGGCTCGAACCCACGAACCGCGAGATCATGACCTAAGCGAAAGTCGGACGCTTAACCGACTAAGCCACCCAGGCGCCCCAGAGTTTTATAAAATCAAATAAAAATTACAGAAAAATGAAATAAAGATACTATAAAATACAGGTCCAAGTTTTAATTTAGATTGAACCAACATAAAATTACTCTGTAAGATTGCTGTAAAAATTTATAAGCACTCAGGTTTTGTACTTAACTCCTCATGGGCTGATAACAAATACATCATGGCTTGTAATTCTCAAACTGTCACTGGTCCATGGGCCAACTTTAAATGGTACTGACCTCTCCTAGCTAATATGGGGTCTCTGCAAAATTTTCAGTGAAGAATGACGTAATTATTTTTGTGTCTAGCATAATGAATTTTTTGTCAGCACAAGTGAGAAGTAGGTTTCAGGATGGAAGGATCGAAACCAAGGAGCCCTGGAGTCATTAATGCTTGAAATGTAGCTCGAAGTGGAGGAGAAAGTGAAATTGACTTTCTTGATGCTGATTAATTCATGTATAGGCTAATTCTTGCAGTAGGCCATAAACTTCCTGTAGGCAGGGACTATATTTCTTTTAGTAATTACACAAGACAGGCACTTTTCAAAATATTTAGTGAATGAATGAGTTGGCCAGAGAGGTAAGGCAGAACCAGGAAAGAGTAGAGTATGTATAAAACTGGAATAAGAAGAGTTTCAGGCTGGGAACATAATGAACAGAATCACAGACTTTCAAATTAAGGAAGGTGATAATTGATAAGTATTTATTAGATTTAATAATTTCAGAGTCCTTAGGAAGATCAGCTTTAGTGATTTGATAAATGTAGATAAAAAATGTATTGCCTATTTCTGTTATCCAGTAAGAGAATGAATAGAGATACCCTTTAAATATGACACATCATTAGGGCACCTGGGTGGTTCAGTCAGTTAAGCATCCGACTTTGGCTCAGGTCATGATCTCATGGTTCGTGAGTTCGAGCCCCGCATGAGGCTGTCTGCTGTCAATGTATAACCCACTTGGAATTCTTTATCGCCCTCTCTCTATCCCTCCCCAATGTGCTCCTTCTCTCAAAAATAAATAAAAACATTTAAAATATGACAGATTCTTAACTAATGTTAATTATTTGAAGAAGAAAACTGATTACTTAGTATTGTATGTAAATGTAAGATCATTGATATGTACTTTTTTCTTTTATCTTTTTTTCTTCTATCTTTATGGGAACTGAATCTCTAAATGGAGCTGAAATTGGGTTTTAATAATTGATTCTGAGTTGAGAAAAAAATTGAAATGTGAATAATTTGGTTGGTCTTTTTCAAGTTGATATTTATTTATTTATTTAAATGTTTACTCATTTTTTAAAAATTTTTTTTAATGTTTTATTTATTTCTAGGAGAGAGAGAGAGAGAGACAGTGTGAGCAGGGAGGGTCAGAGAGAGAAGGAGTCACAGAGTCTGAAACAGGCTCCAGGCTCTGAGCTGGCAGTCAGCACAGAGCCCGACACGGGGCTCGAACCCACGGACCGCGAGATCATGACCTAAGCGAAAGTCGGACGCTTAACCGACTAAGCCACCCAGGCTCCCCTATTCATTTTGAGAGACAGAGACAGAGCGCGAGTTGGGGAGGAGCAGAGAGAGAGGGAGACAGACTCCGAAGCAGGCTCCAGGGCTCTGTGCTAGCACAGAGCAGGGCTCAAACTCACAAACTGTGAGATCATGACCTGAGCGAAAGTCAGGTGCTTAACCGACTGAGCCACCCAGGTGCCCCTCAAATTGATTTTTAATAAAGTTGTTATCAAATATTCTTTATGTGATTCTTTGTTAGACCCTTTCCAGTAACATTCTGTTTTCATCATAGAATAAAGTTTAATCTTATTCTTTATTGTACCAGACGTGTATTTGGTAAATAGTTTGTAGGGCAAAGATTGTGGATTGAAAGTATGTGAGAGATTACTTCTGAAGAGTGAGAGAACTGAAAGGCATTTGAGGGCTGTTAATGGAAATAATAGAAGTTGTATGGAGCATCATAGCAGGTAGTTTAGCAGTTTTTTGTGTCATTTAGTTGCTTTATGTCTTCTAAACAAGTTTTAGTAGCATCTTTAAATTGAAGAAACATGCATTGAACATGATGTCTTCTGCTTAAATTATGGTACTCCCATCCAGTGCCTATATGAATATTGGTACTTGGTCATTTTTTAATATTGTCTAGATGGAAACGTTATTTGAATTTTGCTTCTGTGATTGCTTTTTTAAAGAAAATAATAAAATGAACTTTGGGTTTCATGATACCTTTTCTCTGAAAAGATCATGATCATTTTACCTTATGGCGGGTAATGAAATTCCAGGCCCCTTAACATAAACGATAATTATATGTGAAAGCTGGAGTAATTTTTATGCTCTTTTTTATTATGAAATATAAATATTCAGTCCTCTTCACAATAGTTTCACAAGTTGTCTCTACGTCTTCCATAGAATGAAGACCGAGAAGTGGTCCTGGTCAGAACAGATCGGTCTGGAGGAGTGTGGCCTGTGAGCACAGAAGGAAAGTCTCGGGAACCTACAGGAGGGACAAGGAGGAGGCAGATGGTGTGTTTACCATATTTCCTTGTTAATTCGGAATTCCTTTCTCCTCCCTGGTGTTGTTTGCTTCAGATTACTTCCGGAATGTTTTCTGAAGTGTAGGTTTATAATACAAACACTAGTAAATTATATAGTATTACTTTTATTCTCAGGTATATCCCTTTGCATTTTACAAAATGTAATCTCATTCAACCACGGGTTTTAAATGTGAACATTGAATGTTTAAAGCAATTTTAATTTTGTGTACATTTTGTTTTTCCATTGTTTCTAACTTCTTTTTACATATTTACCATAGCTCTTAGGGAAAATCTTGCATTAGTTAATTTGAGCTCTGCTGATGGGGTGTCGATATACAATAATGTCTTAATTATGTGGTTGCTGGGATCCTTTATAAACCTTATTTTCTTTTCCATCTTCCAGCTCCACCAATTAGTTTTTAGCACTACCCCGAGGCTCTAGAGTTGGCAGAAACAGTGTATTTAGTTTTCCCAAGTACGATTTTTTGTTTTAAATTTGGAAGATCATACAAACAGTGATTGGGTCCACAGAAGATTTTTTTCATTCACAGTTTTTCTGTCACATGTTTATTATTTGTCTGTTGAGTGCCTGAGCTGCTGGAGAGAGTAGTTGCTTCAGCGAATAGAGCGGGACAGATCCCTCCTCTAATGAAATGGGAAGAATTAGGGGTTCGGAGCAGAGATGGGGCAGGAGAAGAGATAGGTTCGAATTCTGTGGAATGACGGAACTGGCTACGGAGCCGAGGGTACTTTGCCAGATGCCAGCAGCGGCCCTGTTTGAGTTGCCTGTGGCTGAGCACTGCCGGCACAGGGCGGACACACTCACTCGAGACTGAGGTTGGCCTTTCGAGTGTAAGAAACAGGCCACGAGGGCCAGAAATCAAGGGTCTGGAACCGGGGAGTGATTGGAGCCATGCAACGTGAGACTTAAGCTAGTGATTTCAGAAACAGTGATGTTGGGAAAAAGTTCTGGGAATGTGCATCCAAAGATCTCAAAGAGGGTGAAGAGCAGGTTTTACTTGGCTACAGGAGTGTGACAGTAAGGGACGTAGGGGAGATGTGACTTGGGAGGAAATAACATAGCACTTTTCTTTGCCACAGGTAGGTGTGGAGCCCACTGAGAGGAAGACCCAGGACTGATTTAGATGAGAATAGACTATCATCCTTGTCTCTGACAGAGCTATGCGAAATGGGTTCGCTCATACGCTCTCTGTTTTCGGTGTGCTCACTTCATCTCTGGATGGCTGTGCGCTTCCCTGGACGGCGGTCAGGAGTGGTTACTCCCAGGAAGGGAGCAGACAGGAGGGAAGAAGGGATAAAGCAGCTCTGCCGTTTCCCCAAATCCTGAAGTCAGATCATACCATCCCTGGCAAAGAGGAGACTAATGGGGCAAAAATAGGGAGTGGTATTCTAATGGAAATTCTTCCAAGCGGAACCACATAGAAAAGGGATAAGCTGGAAGGAAACCTTTACATTTACTATCCGATTTACAGGTAATTTATTAAAAATACTTCATGGTCGCAGACCCATGTTTTCACTAAATAATGTTCATTTTCTCATAGGCTTCAACTCACGAAGAAAAAGAAAGGGTGAGATACTTTCATGATGATGATGATCTCAGTCTGAGTGATTTAGTCAAGAATGAAAAGATGGGAACAGCAGAAAATCAGAACAAACTTTTTATGAGAATGGCATCTAAGGTAAGATATATTCCTGGGATATCTTTCAGTTTGAGAAGCTGGCTACTCCATCTAGCAATGGTCTATTTTTCAGAGAGAGCTGTGCTTTCCGATCTCGATTTAGTTTATTAAATCAGCCCTTTGTGAGACATATTAGAAACATGCATTTTGGAATTGATTGGGAAACTTATATTTGGGATTTATTTTGCTTTTATTTTTAATTTTTATTTATTTTTTTAAAGTTTATTTATTTTGAGGGAGAGAGGGTGCACACACAAGCAGAGGGGCAGAGAGAGGAGAGAGAGAGAGAGAGAGAGAGAGAATCCTAGAGAATCCTAGGCAGACTTCATGCTGCCGGTGCAGAGCCCATTGTGGGGCTCATACTCACGAGCCGTGAGGTCATGACCTCAGCCAAAATCAAGAGTAGGGCGCTTAACCCAATGAGCCTGAGTCACCCAGGCACCTCTATTCTGTTTTTAAGTATAGACTCTGGTTTAGTTTTTTTTTTTTTAATTTTTAAATTAACATGAAAATATTAATTATGTATTTGATCTCCCACTTAAAGGAACATTTGGGCCAGAGTTTAATGTTGGCAACATGCCGCTAGTTATGTGACCGGTACGTTTTGTATTAGTGTTCCTCCAGGTTTTCATGATACCATGGGGAATATATTTGAAGTGACAGACTATGGATTATACAGGAGGCATTTTAGAAGAATCTTAAATCTATTTATATGAAACCTTGTCTTTAAAAATTTTTTTTAAATATTTATTTTTGAGAGAGAGAGAACAGAGCACAAGTGGTGGTGGGGCAGGGAGAGAGAGAGAGAGAAAGAGAGAGTGAGGGAGACACAGAATGTGAGGCAGGCTCTAGACTCTGAGCTGTCAGCACAGAGCCCAACTTGGGACTCAAACTCACAAGCTGTGAGATCATGATCTGAGCTGAAGTCAGACACTTAACCGACTGAGCCACCCCGGTGCCCCTGAAAACTTGTATTTATATTTCATATTCCTATGAAAATGTGTGTTAATCCATCATTATGGTTAGTAGGATTAGTTTTTGTTAAAGGTAGCATTCTTTGTTATAGTTCCTTCCAGACTCGCCCACTAACATTTTTGATACAAGAGATATGTTTAAACTCAGCTGTGGAACAGGGTTTGACGTTGGAGCTTCAGCTTGCTGTCTGCTTGCAGGTGAAGTTTTCCTGGAACACAGCTGTCCACATTTGTTTACATAGTGTCGAAGGCTGTTTTCACTCCCTCACAGGCCAGCTGAGTAGTTGTGACAGAGACCTTACAGCCCACAAAGCGGAAATACTTGCAGTACTTTGCGCAAGCCTGCTTTGTGACACCCATGGTTACTTTTCGATGGTGCGCGTTGGGACGGGGTGTCTGAGGTCCGGGAGGAAGACTCTACTGCCTGGTGAAAACCTTAACGTAATGACAACTAGAAGAGGGATAACCAGAGATACCTGTGTGTGTGTATGTGTGTGGGGAGGGAGCGACACAAACTCGGGTTTAAACAGGAACGGCCGTCCTTCCATCACCAAGGATTGTAAATTTAGCCCATAGGATCCTTTCCGTTCTCTTCATCTGGAGGGAAGGACTAGAAATCAGTCCCGTAGGGTCTGGAATTCCGTTCTGATGAAAGTTTTCTTTTCAGAGATGGGGCACACCGCTTTGTGTGCAACTCTGAATTAAATACGGTTTTAGTAATCTGAGCATAGTACCTTCAGGTGTCTACACAAGACGAAAAAAGCTTGTTATCCACTTGTGCCTGAACGCCTGAGGGCTGCGTGGTTGGCCCCGTTCCAGTGCTGCGAGTAGGGAGCCGATGAAGTCGGATTCCTTCCCTCAAGGGGCTTGTGTTTCTAGTGGATGAGACAGAAAATGAACAAATACATGGTATAAAATACTATGTAACGTAAGTAGTAGGATACAAAATAGAAAATATTTTTGTAGGAAATAAAGCAAAATCGGAGGCGATAGGTTTGTGGTCTCAGTAGAGGGTTGAAGGCAGGCGCCTCCTTGGAGGTGGTGTCTCCGCAGCCTGTGAACAAAATCGGGGGGTGGGGTCCACAGGAGTGCCTGGGGGAGGCCGTTCCTGCAAAGGGCCCACAGCAGAGGCGGGCTTGCAGCACGTGTGACCTGACTGGGGACACAGGGAGAAGAGGCGGGGTCGCAGCGGGTCTTACGGGCCATGCTGTGGGAGCGCGCGCCTGCGTTGTGAGTGACGGGGCGCCATCGGGAAGGTGCTTAGCAGGACGGTGTCATGGTCTGACTTAGGTTTTGTAGTTGCCCCACAACTCTTGTGTGTTCTGCTCCATTTTCTTCCGTTGCAGAAGTTTCTCTCCTCATCTTCCAGCTCCGAGGCTCTTTCCTCTACTGTGTCTGGTCTGGTTATAAACCCATCATTTATTCGTTTCCGCGGTACTGTCTTTAGTCTCTAGAATTTCTTTCTGGTTCTTAGGAGTTTCCACCTCTCAGCTTACATTAGCCGTCTGTTCTTGGTGAGCCCACGCTCCCGGACTGTGAGCCTCACCGGCACTTGTCAGCTTCTCTTCCCTCGTTAGTTGGGAAGGGATGGCGGGGGGGGGGGGGGGGGGGGGGGGGGGGGGGGGCTGGACTCGGGGGTTCCCCTTCCTTCAGGTGGGCTAGGCCGTGATAAAGCCCCAGCAGGTGCAGCTCTGGTAAAATCCTTCCTCCTAAGGGCTGGGCTGGGCTTGTTAAGAAGAACAGAATGTTCTGGTGTATTTCACAGTGGTGCTTCTCTCCCTGCCCATTGCTGGAAGGGAGAGCAGCTGCCTGGAGGTAAAACCCACACAGCCGTGTCAGCTTCTCCATGACTGGGTCCCCCGGGGTTTCTAACTCTCAGATTTGTCCACTTTGTCCGCACTGAGCCTCCAGCAATTTGTCAGTTAAAGTTTAGGTTTTCCTGGCCTGGCGATGGTTCCCACGGAGCCCCTGCTTTGTGCACGCAGATTGTGATTCCCTCTGGCCCGCTGACTGGCTCCCTGACTTTGGGGCTAAGGAGAGTTGTTGATTTTTCAGTTTCTTCAGCTTTGTACTTGCTCTGGGGACAGAGTGGCAGCTTCTCAGCTCTTTAAATGCCAGGCTGGAAACTGCTGGTTTATTTTTGAAAGGGTTATTCTGGCAGCTCTTTCAAGAAGGCAGTATAGGGAGGCAGGAGTGGAAATAGGGAGATCACTTTAGGAGGGTCTTGCATTAGCTCAGACAGAGCCTGGGATCAGAGTGTAAACAGTGAGAAGTGTTAGGATTTGGGGCAGTGCTGCTGCTATTTACTGAAATAGAAAACCCGGCAGGGGACACGTTGCGCTGGAGGTAGGCGATCAGGAACACTGTCACAGATATGTGAAGTACAGACGCCCAGGAGACCTTCCCATGGTGCCGTGGGCTCACTGCCATGGGGCTCTGCGTCCGTGTTGGCGCTCACAGACACTTGGATGCCCTTGACGTCGAAGTGTATGTAAAGCCACGGGGCTCAGGGAGTTATTGACGAAGTGGGTCTGAAGACTGAGCTCAGGAGCACCGTGTGGAAGGCGACGGGGAGGGTTCAACAACTGACGCTGAGAAGGGCGGCCAGTGAGGCACCAGGAAGGCAGGCCGTGGTGGGTGAGAAGCGGGGCAATAAGTGTCAGTTGCTTCTGAGGGGCGGAGTCAGACCTTTGAAGCCGGCGAGGTGGCCATTAGGTTTGCCAACGTGTAGGCTTCTGGAGACTCCGAGGGAAGGGGGAGTGTCCGTGCGCGTCCGTGCGCAGAGGCAGAAGAGCTTGTAAGTGTAGGAGGGGGAACGGGCCCCTCTTTCCGCCCCTCCAAGTTTAGGGAACACGACGGTTCTCAGCTGGGAGTCACGGTGAATAAGGGGCGTCAGAGGGTCGAGAAGGAAGGGCGAAATGGTTTTCTAGAAAACCTGTGTGAAGTACAGCAGGATCGCCAGGCGGCGCTGAAGGCCCGTCTGAGCGTCATGGTTATAAATGTGACATTGAACATGGCAGGGTGTTCGTGTGTTTTTCCCCTTCCGTGTTTGGATAGAGACTCAGTTTTACTGAATCATGTTACAGTGATCATGACTCGTTTTGTATTTTTCAGATTTTATCACCGTTGATTCTTGCTTTAAGGGTACAGATAAGAGACGATGTTTATGTTTTTTTTCTCTGCATAAGATCTTTTAGTAATATTTGTATTGGGTAGAGTTGTTTTTAGTATTAACTGATTTGGCAGTGATTACGATCCCTAAACATTGAAAATCTTTGAATTTTTTAAACTCTGAGGTTATTAAGCTAGAACATTATAATAGGTACGGTACACATTTACCAGTGGGATGTTACCAAATGACAGAGTAATGGGCCCTCGCCTCCATCCCCTCACAAAGGTCAGCGGTTGGGTGGCGGACATGACTGAGGAGCGCTGCAGAGTCTGCATACAACCTTCAACAACACGGTGGGACGGAGACACTGGGTAACGACTGTACCCGATGGACGAGGACAGCTTCACTTGTGCTTGGGTTGCCTTGTCCCCACGCTGGCGTCGCGCAGCGCCCAGAGGGAACGCCCCTGCTGGAGAGACTTCGTGTGGCAAGGAGAAGAGCAGGGTGACCAGCTCCCCGAGTGTTCCGTGGCGCCACGTGAAGGTCCCACTTCAGTGTCCGCCCACCCAGAGACCAGCAGAGCCGAGACAGAGAGACAGCTAGGAACGGGAGAAAAGTAGGGGCTCCCGGGAGCAGCCACCCTGTGGGTGATCATGGTTCCCAGGGGTCTGCCCTACAGACAAGCCAGCAGCGTTTGCCCCCGAAGAGAACAGTGAGCCCTTGCAGAGTTTACCAGCTCTTACTGCGCAGATGTTCACGCTCAGCTGTCTGGGTCCCTTTCTGCTCCCCATCCCACCCCCAGTCAACTCCCCTAGGAGCCTGGGAACTGTACTGGCAGCTGGCCCCACTCGCTGGGTACTTGCCCACTTCTCTGTGACCCCACCACTGGCATCTCCTGCCACACATTCGAGGCAAGACCGTGTAGCCATGGCAGTGTGTGCTGAAAGCCACGCACCTGCAGTTAACGCCTGCCCTTGCTGCGTGCCCTGGCACCTCCCGCTACATGTGTGGTCGCAGCCACTATACAGCCACCTGCAGCTGGCCCCCACATCTGAGGGTGCGCCCTGGCTCTGGTGACGGCTGTCTGTTGCCCTGGTGTGCAGCTCTTGCAGTAGCCCTCAAAGCTTCTGTGGGCCCCCCAGAGATGCTGCCAAGGGTCACACGGTTGTTGATGCCGTGGACCCCAGCGACTTGAGCCCACAAGCCACCGCCCTCCCCAGACTCATTGCCACCACATGCCCTCCCACTTGGCATCCTGCACCTTTAGATCCGAGGTCACCACACGCTCCAGCATGCCCCTGCGTGCAGATGGGCATTTTCCCTTACTGCAGTCCATAAAGTCTAGAAGGGAAGACTGCTTCTTCAAATGCACAGACATCTACACAAGGTTGTAGGTATCATAAATAATTAGGGAAACATGACTTCAACAAAGGAATACAGTAAATATCTAGTTACCATCCCCAAAGAAAAGAAGATACAGGCATTACCTGATGAAGAATTCAAAGTAATTGTTTTAAAGATGCTCAGAGAGCTGTGAGAACACCGATAAGCAATGTAATGATATCGGGAAGACAATACAAGAACAGGATAGGAAGTTCAACAAAGGAACAGAACACAAATCAGACATTTGTAGCAGAGGAATACACTGAGTGAACTGTAGAAAAATCAGTAAAGAGCTTCACCAGCAGACCAGACCAAACAGAAGAAAGAATCAGCTCGCAGAGAATTCGTGTGGAATCATCCAGTCAGAGGAGCAACAGGAAAAAGGATGAGAAGGGAAGGAAAAAAGCATACGGGTCTTAGGGGACACCATTAACAAACACTCTGTGTGTCATTGGCATCCCACAGGAGAAGGGAAGGAGAAAGGGATAGAAAGCTTCCTTAAAGAAATAATGGCTGAGAACCTCCCAAACCTGGGGAGAGATTTGCACTTGTAAGTTCATGAAGCTAATAAGTCACCCCAAAATTTCAATCCAAAGTGATCTTTTTCAAGACACAATATAGTAAAACTGAAATTGAAGAAAAAAAGAATTTTAAAAGCAGTAAGAGAAAAAATTCTCTCCTACAAGGAACCCCTTTAAGTGAATTTCCAAGCAGAGCCGCTTCAGGCCAGGAGAGGATGGCTTGGTACACGTGCTGAAGGAAAGAAACTGCCAACCAAGAATATTTTACCCAGCACAGTTGTCCTTCAGAAAGGGCAAAATAGAGACTTCCCTAAACAAGTAAAACTTGAGAGCTCATCACTACTAGACCTGCCTTCTAAAGAAGGCTGCTCATTAGTGACATGAAAACATATGAAAATGTACAACACCCTAGTAAAGGTAAGCATATAGTCAGGTACAGAACGGTGTGTTAACCCCAACTGTAGCCTAAAAGTTGAAGGACAAAAGTGTTAAAAATAGTGATAGCTACAATAATTTGTCAATAGATGCACAATATAAAAAGTAAAGTGTGATATCAAAAACATGAAATGTGACTGTTGTGAAACCTAAAAGGGTAGAGTTTTTCTGTGAGATAGAAATCATTCAGTTTGAAATCTACTTCTGTCTCTAAGGTGTTTCAGGTTAAGTCTTAGGGTCACCATAAACCAAAGCCTGCAGTGGAAAAGATGGAGGGAGCCAGTGTATCCCACTGTGGACACTCATCCATTCATTGAGAAGAACAGCTAGAATGGAAGGGAAGGAAAAGGAACTACCAAACAGCCAGACCTGTTCACGAGGTGATGGTACTACGCTCTCGCCTGTGAAGAGTCACTGTAAGTGTAATGGGTTAAATGTTCCACTAAGAAGGCAGAGAGTGGGTGAATGGATAAAGAGCCAGACCCAACTATAGACTCCGTGTAAGAGACTCACTTCAGCTTTAACAACACAGATAGGTTCAAAGTGAAGGCATGGGAAAGAACATTCCATGCAGACAGGAGCCGAAGGAAGCAGGGACAGCTATACCTCTACAGACAAAGTGGACTTAAAGTCGAACACTGTAACTGGAGACAAGTAAGATCATAGTATAAGGATAAAGGAGTCAACTCATCAAGAGGAAATAATAATTGTAAACACATAAACACCCAACATCAGAGCCCCTAATTATGTCAAATAATAACAGATCTACGAGAGTAAAGTAGACAACAGTACAGTAATATTAGAGAACTTCATTCAGTACCTCACTTTCATCAGTGAATAGATCATCCAGATCAAAAAGCAATAAGGAAACATTGGACTTGAATGACACTTTGTTTTTTTCTTCTTTTTTTTAAATTTATTTTTTCTTTCATAGTTTATTGTCAACTTGGTTTCCATATAACATCCAGTGCTCATCCCCACAGGTGCCCTCCTCCATGCCCATCACCTCCCTTCCCCTCCCCCTCACCCCCATCAGCCCTCAGTTTGTTCCCAGCATTCAAGAGTCTCTCATGGTTTGCCTCCCTCCCTCTCCTCCACTATTTCCCCCCTTCATCTCCCCCACGGTCCTCAGTTAAGTTCCTCCTAATCCTCCTATACGTGCAAACATATGGTATCTGTCCTTCTCTGCCTGACTTATTTCGCTCAGCACAGCACCCTCAAGGTCCATCCATGTTGCTACACAGGCCAGATTTCATTCTTTCTCATTGCCATGTAGTATTCCATCGTGTAGATAAACCACATCTTCTTGATCCACTCGTCCGTTGATGGACACTTAGGCTCTTTCCAAGTTTTGGCTATTGTTGAGAGTGCTGCTTTGAACATTGGGGTACATGTGCCCCTGTGCATCAGCACTCCTGTGTCCCTCGGGTAAATTCCTAGCAGTGCTATTGCTGGGTCCTAGGGGAGTTCTATTGTCAGTTTCCTGGGGAACCTCCACACTGTTTTCCAGAGGGGCTGTACCAGTTTACATTCCCACCAACAGTGTAGGAGGGTGCCCGTTTCTCCACATCCTCGCCAGCATCTTGAGTTCTCTGATTTGCTCATTTTAGCCACTCTGACTGGTGTGAGGTGGTATCTCAGTGTGGTTTTGATTTGTATTTCTCTGATGAGGAGGGATGCTGAGCATCGTTTCATGTGTCTGTTGGCCATCTGGATGTCCTCTTTGGAGAAGTGTTTGTTCATGTCTTCTTCCCATTTCTTCACTGGATTATTTGTTTTTTGGGTGTGGAGTTTGGTGAGTTCCTTATAGATTTTGGATATTATCCCTTTATCTGATATGTCATTTGCAACTATCTTTTCCCATTCTTTTTGTTGCCTATTAGTTTTATGGATTGTTTCCTTTGCCGTGCAGAAGCTTTTAATCTTGATGAGGTCCCAGTAGTTCATTTTTGCTCTTGATTCCCTTGCCTTTGGGGATGTGTCGAGTAAGAAATGGCTGCAGCTGAAGTCAAGGAGGTTGTTTCCGGCTTTCTCCTCCAGGGTTTTGATGGTTTCCTGTCTCACATTTAAGTCCTTTATCCATGTTGAGTTGATGTGTGTATGGTGAGAAAGTGATCTGTTAGTTTCATTCTTCTGCATGTTGCTGTCCAGTTCTCCCAGCACCATCTGTTAAAGAGGCTGTCTTTTTTTCCATTGGACACTCTTTCCTGCTTTGTCAAAGATTAGTTGGCCGAACACTTGTGGGTCCAATGCTGAGTTTCCTATTCTATCCCTTTGGTCTATGTGTCTGTTTTGTGCCAATACCATACTGTCTTGATGACACCTTTGTAGTAGACGCTAAAGTCTGGGATGGTGATGCCTCCCATTTTGGTTTTCTTCTTCAATATTACTTTGACTCTTCAGAGTCTTTTGTGGTTCCATATAAGTTTTAGGATAGTTTGATTTCACTTTGAGAAGATTGCTGGTGCAGTTTAGATTGGGATTGCATTGAATGTGTAGATTGCTTTGGGTAGTAATGACATTTTAACAATATTTATTCTTCTGATCCATGAACATGGAATGTTTTTCCATTTCTTTGTGTCTTCTTCAGTTTCCTTCATAAGTTTTGTATAGGTTTCATCATACAGATCTCTACGTCTTTGGTTAGGTTTATTCCTAGTTATTTATGGTTTTTTGTGCAATTATGAATGGGATCAGTTTCCTGATTTCTCTCTGTTGCTTCATTATTGGTCTATAAAAATGCAACCGATTTCTGTGCATTGATTTTGTACCCTGCAACTTGGCTGAATTCTTGGATCAGTTCTAGTAGGCTTCTGGTGGAGTCTGACATGTTTTCTATGTAGAGTATCATGTCGTCTGTGAAAAGCGAAAGATTGACTTCTTCTTTGCTAATTCTTATGCCTTTTATTTCCTTTTGTTGTCTGATTGCTAAAGCTAAGATTTCCAGCACTATGTTAAACAGTGGTGAGAGTGGACATCCCTGTCGTGTTCCTGGTCGCAGGTAAAAGCTCTCAGATTTTCCCCATTGAAGATGAT